ACAATGTTAACACTACTGACAACTTTAATGTACTACATCCAGCATACAATGGTGTCTCTGCATCACTTTTCAACTTCTTAAACATTTTTGGACAATCCTCGAGGTCTCTTTAACTACTTTGGCCATCTGTTCAAGACAATCTTCCTCAAGTATGCATGTGTCGAAATCATCAAGAGATGACGCATAGCTTTCACTATGCTTCTGGCTATAACCAATATCATATCTTGTCTCACCATACATTGTCCAACACTTATAACTTTGATCCATCCTATTAATCACTAAGTGTTCTTCACAAGTATCTAGACTAACTTGCTTCATAAGACCGCACTTTAAATATGGGCAAACAATCCTAATAGGATCCTCTGCATGCTTAACTGCAAGCTTAACAAAATCCACCACCCTATCTCAATATTCCTTAGATAGACAATTGACAGGCATTTATTCCTTATCCATAATTCCTAGAAAGATTAAGAGAAAAATATGATTAATGACTTTGACTACTCTTAGATAGTGGGAGAATTAGATACAAAGATTAATCAGTCAATAAGTCACTAACCACATGTTTGCACATTCCCTCTTTAATCTTATTTGAAACTAATAATTACATTTTAATGCTAGCCATTAAAATAATTTTGGTGGCATAACGACTTAAAAAAGAGAGTTTCCTGAGCTTTATCCCCTCTCTCAATTAATCTAAATGACAATAACAATAGCATCTACAACAATAATCACATAAAGTTATATTCAAGAATAATTTAACAAAATTGATAGTATATCTAACAGCTTAAAATGAGTATTACAAGGTCATTATGCCTTCAGAAAAATCAAGTTATCTATAATGAGATTATATATGATCCAACAACAATAATAACAACATTAATAAGAAGCCTAATTTTAATTAAAATTATATAAATCACATCAAACACTATATATAAATATCAATTTAAAATCTCAAAAATATTTTTACATAAGCCAATTTTCAATCAATTGAAAAACTAGTAATGTGAAAATTGACAATTCAAGAAATATAAATCTAAATTAATCATTCAATTATAGAACAAACACTCAAAACTTAAATACAAGGTAATTAGGTGGTATAAAATTTTCATATGCTTAATGAATCTCCTCATACCAGTAAAACAATTGGATGATCCATTAATTCAATAATTAAGCACCTAAAATCTCAAAAGTTCAAATACTCACTAAGAAGAACAATAATGCAAATCAAAATAATTAACATAGAAACTATTTATTGCATATGAAAATTAAAATCAACAACCCATGCATTCAAAATGAAGATAATGATTGAGAAAGCAAGAACCTACCTCAATAAGAAGAGGGAACACCGACTGTGTAGAAAAATAGAGAGGCGAGTATGTTGAAGAATCTAAAACCTCTCAAGAATTGAGACAAAAAATGTGTTTTTTGGCAGTTGGAGTGACCAAAAATTGGTTTCAATGGCTCTGGGTTTGTTTCTGAAAGCGAATGATTTGTAAAAATGGAGAGCAAAAAAGAAATCTAGAGAAAATTTAAATGAAAATACTTGATAGTTATTTCATAATAACCATTAAGTATTATATATTTGACGCTTTTTTTTAAATAACCGTCAAGTATATGGTGGACATACTTGACGGTTATTTCAAAACAAGCGTCAAATATGTGAAAAAATTTAATTTTTTAATTATTAATTTGACATTTATTTATTAAAAACCGACGTATAAATTTTACCTTTATTATATGGTTATTTATAAAAAATGTCACATATATATAGTTGATGGTTATCTTGTAATAACCGTCATGTATCTGCTTGAATGTTTGACACTTGTTTTATAACAACTATCAAGTATTCTCTGCCTTTTTTATTTGTCATTTTTTTCAAATAAGCATCAATTATAAACTTTTTTGTAGAAGTGATTTGGAGAGAATATGTATAATAGAGATTAAGAAGCATCAATGGCTTTTAAGGAACTTGCCCACTGAACTAATGGATGGATGAAGCTGGGAAAGTGTGGAGGAAGTGTTAGTTATAATATAAGGAAGAAAACCTCCCAATATACCGCTTGTGGTGCTCTTGTTGTGGGAGGCAGCAACATGAAACCAAATGAATTTGATACTGAAGTGGATCTTGAAGGTATAGAAACAAGTGGTGAATTTGTGAGTTATATTTTAGCATGCCTACAAACGACATGTTGAGCTATTCTTTGTAGTCTATGGAATTTTTGTTCGTTTTTAATAGGAGTTATGAATATGTCATTTTTTATATCCTTTTCTTTCCTGCCAAGTCATAGTGAAAGTAGATTTTAAATCAGCATTGAATACATTACTTAATGCTATTCTACTTACTGTAATTACCTCGATCCAGATTACAATTTATGTTGAATATTTTTCTTTATTCATTAAGGAACATAATTGACCGTATTGCTCTTTCATCTCTACCCCCTTCTCTCAATTTTTTAAAATATTTTACTTTTATAAAATATTATTGTTGAACCCTAGTTTTGATTGTTGCAAAAAGATAGAGAAGTTGTTATTTTGCAATGAAATTTGGCAAAGTTAAGGAAATAAGGATTATGTGCTTAAATTCATTGAATTCTCTTAACCTTAACTTTATATAATTTAGAAATAGTTATTTGAATTATTTCTATCCAAGAATTGATTTAGCTTGAATAAAAAATGAAGTAAAACTTTTTTGGATCAACTTAACATACCGGTATATGCCATTCCTACCGGTATGTCTCTATCCTACCTAAATGTCTTACTTCTCCCAAAATGTCCGTTTTGTTATATATAATTCATGTGATTAAAGTCAAATTCTTTTTTATTTATGAAAAAATATATTTGCATTTGGAGTCTTTGAACTTGCAGAAATAATTTAAAATATATCAGGCTTTAGGTGTGATTTTTTTCTATTATGGGAGCTTTAGGCGCGATTCTCTCTATTATATATGTGTACAAATGTTCTTGCTGTAAATCAGTAGTGTACGCTTAATTCTTTAAGCAAGCATGAGAATATTAATAAAATATACATATTGGCCTCATCACTTTATAATTTTATATGATACTATATAATAATAATAATAATTATAATAATACTGATTCATCGAACACTATGCCAATCATGCGTCATAAAATATATGCATAATTGGCAGGGTTTGGAGGGTGGAGGAAGTCTCTGGCATTAAAAATAATAATATATTGAATTGTATACAATAAGAATTATTCAATTATTCAATATCGGTGTGTGGTGACATAAAATATTTTATTCGAAAGAAAATATGTGCGTCCAGTAAGAACAAGTTCTAGAAGAAAAGGTGGTGGGGTTGCAGAAATTCAAAGGAGCAAATAAATATCCAAGGTGACATTGTTACTAAATTTGTGAGGCTATATAGAGTATAGGGACACACACAAAATGGTCCTAACTTAATTGATTGAAGAATTGAATGGGGGAGGTTTCTTGAACTTGAAGGTACATAATTGTCAACCCCCCAAAGTATGGCAAAAGGAAAAGAAAAAAGGCACAAGAATCTATTAGTTGGGTGTGTGTGTGAGAATCCTGAGTAACAACTTCTGCAAAATTGAATTGGATATTAAAAAGATGAATATAACTTTTCATTCCTATTTTTTAGTTGTTGGCATATTTTTTAAATTTTAATTAGATATAATTCAATCCTTATAATTTTATTGAGTTAATAATAAATTACAGAGATGGGGTTATATATTTATAAAAAAAAGGAAAGTGGATCTTCAGTAGTACTGGTTGGCTCGTAAAAGTAAACCACTGGAATATAGTGACTAAAAAGGACATGATCAAAAAAGGAAAGTGGATAAATTCTGAGATGCGGAAGGGTAGGAGAAGAGGGTTTGATAGTTTCTCTTGATATGACTTCTATGTCCATATCTAGAAAGGTTTCGAGGGATTTACTGATTTAGAAACGAGTGTTGCAGTGGATTGGGTGTCTCTCGTACATGGAAAAGAAACAGTAGGTGAGAGTGTTATCAAGCGTGCTGCCCGACGGCTTTAGTTGACAGTGATTTGGACTGTTAGTTTTCCCCGGCAGGTTATGGGTCCTGAGTGGTGGCTTTCTTACCTACCGAGCTAACCTTAGTCTTATGGCGATGAAGGTCTCATCATTGCGCAATGTGGGAGTCGGTTTACCTACCCATAAAGAGGTGTATGATTTGGTTGATCCAGGTTTAATGTATTTTTTTAATTTTTAATTTTCTATTTTTTAAAATAAAAAATTTATATAAACTGTAAAACTTTTAATAAATTTTATTATTAATTTGGACAGTTCATATAAAACATAAATACTCTATTATTTAATATTAAAAATTATAAAAAATTTAATATTAAACCTGTATTATTTAAAATACATCTGGATAATCAATTTATGAAAATTTTAATATTAAACATGGATCATATATATTAAATTTAAACTGTCCAAATTGATAAACAAATTTATTAAAAGTCTACAGTTTATACAAATTTTTTATTTAAAAATATAAAATAAAACAATAAAAAGTGCATTAACTCTGGACCATCCAAATTAAATTTGGACAGTCCAAATCATACACCTCCTGAGTGGAATTGCTAGGAGGCTTCCCTCAACTCTTGTACCATGTAGTCGGTCAAAGGGGTTAGGCATGGAGTCTTTGATAAGTTAAGGGTCATTTTTATTTATGAAATGTACACAAAATGTCACAAATGCTCCTGAAGTCAACTGAGTTACTTATATTTCTCAACTTTAAAAATTTCCTCTATCATCACCCTGACATTAAAAACACTTAATGTTAGCTAGTTGTTAGTGAGTTTTACTATTCTTTTTAATATTTGTTATCAAATTTAGAATCATTTTTGCCTCTTTAACATCTATTTGAAGGGTCATTTTTGCCCCTCAATTCAAATATTTTAAAGTAAAAAAATATTAAAAATATAACATGGAGCCCACTAATGGTGAACTAATGATGAGAAAACGGGAGGGCACTCCTTCCTTGCATTTTCTAACTTGGAGGCGTGTTTTGTAATTTGTATTACCCTAGTTCTCAATTTTCCTGTCTCCATTTTTCATCACCTTCACGCCAGTGTTCTTCTTGCTCCCCATGTTCTTCGCCACGTTGAATATCATCTTCGTCTATGTTCCCATTAGCTTTACCGGCGTCCCGTATAAAATTCACATTGGCCCTAGATTCTCAAGTTTGCGTTGCAGAGACCAGTAGAGCACCAAGCATCTCAACCTCCCTCTTCTGCAATGAATCAGTCCCTTCGTCGATCTCAGCCATGGGCTTAACATCCATCTTTTCTTCTTTGTTGTTCATCCCCCATTTTACTTCCCCCCCTCCCAGCGACTCTTGTCGAACCCCCACAACTTTTGCAGTGACGATCTCGTGGTCGCTCACCTTTTCCAACGAGACCCGGAGATTTCTTAGGCCATACTTCAATTTTAATTCAATGATCATGGATGAGGAAAATAACGTACATAGCAATGGGAGAAACCACGCTCGAGAATGCATTGTGGCAGTCGATTGAAGCGGCATAGTTATGATTCCAACAGCAGCAAGCGCAAGCACTTCGAAGATTATGCTGGTTTAAAAAGTCAAAGGCTTTTTGAACCTTTAGAGGAATTCCACATTGATCAAAGGTTGGAATTTTGTTATCAGGTTATGATGCAATTCTTGGGAGGGAGCTTAAAGCAATAAGAGGTATTTTACTCTGTCAAAAATATTATATACAATTTCTCTATATATGAAAATGATAAAATTTTTGAATACTGTAATTGATATGATTTTTTGTTAGCTTTTTCAGCATCTTATCTTTCTCAACTTGCCTCATTTTATTGTCTTGTAGAAGCTTTGCGAATGAATTTTGAATATGCAAATTGGGAGGGATTGGGAGACTAGGAAGGTACGTTATTGCTACACGTTACTTGTCCCTGTTCATGTTTTTTTATCTTTATTTATTAATCATCAATTTTGTGTTTATCATAATTTATATTTTTTTGAATCTGATATCCTTCGTCCAAAGGTGCTATATGATCATCATTTTGAGTAAGCTATGTTTAAAGAGTTGCTCTCTTTGTTGGTCTTTTTCTGCTGATATTTTTTCTCATTTTAGTACAAGTCAATTGATGCCTAGCGATTATTGATAGAATTCTTTGATTTACTATTTTCTCATTTTGTAGATTTCATCACGAGTCTCATTAGTAATTTACATTCTTGATGAGGTTATCAAGATGCGTATTTGAAATGGGAAGTTGTGTTAAGTTTTCATTTGATTTTCTTGGACATGAGACTCTTATAATGATGCCAAGGTTGCAATCTCTGGGTATAACTTGTTAGCTTTGTATCTATGGTTTTGAGCAAATAGTTTCTTTGGGTTTGGGTTATGTAGGAGTTGAGGGATTGGACCACGCCCTGTGGTATTTGCGTCTATTTTTGCTGAGTCAAAAGCTTTTCTGTACAAAGTAGTTCAAGTAATTTTAGTCACCTGTTCTAATATTTAGTATAAAAAATTTAGTTTGACATTGTATATTCTGCTAGATTGGAAATTCCCATTCTTTTAGCTTTACATGTAAATGCAGCATAATGAGGTAAAATGTGAAGGTGAGCTCTACTTGGTAATGCACTTTTCTAGATATTCATCATTCATCTTTTTGAGAACGGCATCATCCCGTACATTATTTGCAGATTTTCACCTTCAAGTACATTGGGTTTTTGAGGGATTCTTTTGGTCTAGGTGTAACCTTTACTATGATAGGTAAGTAGCCAATTTATAGAAATGGTGAAATTATTTCTATCAGCAGCGATTCTTATTTGTGCATGCTCTCATATTATGAACTTATCATAAAATATAAATTAAAGTTTTGCTACAATTATGTACGTTGTTAGTCATTGCTTTATAGAGTTTTTCAGGATGTGTCCTCTATAAACCAGGTTTTAAATTGAAGTTTTGTCATTTATTTTGTTCTGTATCAGGTTTCTAGTTTTTTCTACAGCAATGTAAATATGCTTTTGTGACATTAATTGGGATGGATAAAGAAATTTAGTTACTTATGCTTATAAAGATTTATGTTCAACTAAGTATATGTTATCAGTAGTTAGCTTGTATTCTTTTGTTGCCGACAAATTACACCTTACTAGAGGATGCAAGCTAAAGGTTTGTCGTGATATATTTTCCATTCCTATGTAAGAACTATTTTCTTTTGATAATGTTTTTGTTTTTTGCACAACAGAATTGATTATTGTTCTCACAAAATAAGTTCATTGTAGCTCGGATTTGATGAACAATATATGCAAGAATATAGGTTTCAATCTATGGGAATGGAAAAGAAAAGCCCCTAACAGGATTTTTGTTTTACAAGGAGCTAATTAAAGGATTATGTTTAAACCAATGATCAACTAAGGTGTGGAGTATAATTTTTTGATGGTAGTTTGTTTGGTTGCTACACTTCAATAATTCAATTTCACTTGGTAGCTGTGCTGCTTAATACCTACTTTGCCTCCCTATGGAATGCTTAAGCCAATGCTTGATACACTTCTAAGTTTTGTTTGATACATTTTTTTAATTGTTGAAGTTATGTAAAATTGTTACCTACGAAGGAAGATAAAAGGTAAATCCATCATCTATTTTTAAGCCAGAAATACGTAGGATCCCAAACATTTTTTCCTCTTTAATGAATTTGATTTTGAAGCACATTGTCCTATCAAGTTTTGGATTTTAAATAATTGCTAGCACTTGAAGCTGCATAACTGAATTTTCTTGAGCCATTGATTCCGTAACTGTGATTGTATGTGTTTTCCTCTCCTCCCTATTTTGCATTGATTTGTATATGTCTGGTGCCATATGTGATTATCAATGCACAGTCCTTGTAGAATGTTCAAACAATACTTTTCTAACATATTTAGTTATATTTTCTGTACTATATAAGTTAACACCGGATTATATATTGCAATCCCAACTATGTCTTTGTATCTATATAGATTCATTATATTGAATTTCTGCATGTCTATGTATCATTAACTGCCTGATTCTGTTCACATTGAGTTTATCATTCGATATTAGTTCTAGGAAGTTAATCTTGCTAATTCCTTAGATATTGAATTTTTTCACCAATTAGTGTATTGGCTCCTGAAGGAATAGCCTCTTGCTTTTACTAATATAGCACTATTTGAGGAGGAAAACATTTGTTCATGACTTAGATTTGTTTCTTCATGTAGTTCCATCAAGATTGATGTCTTGAACTTATCACAAATTTTGTAGATTCATGTTGAGAGGTTTGAGTTTAAAGAAATTGGCAGTGGAATTTGCACTTGGAGAGAATATGTATGATAGAGATTAAAAAGCATCAATGGCTTTTAAGGAACTTGCCCACTGAAATAATGGAAGGATGAAGCTAGGAAAGTGTAGAGGAAGTGTTAGTCATAATATAAGGAAGAAAACCTCCCAATATATCCATGTGGTGGTCTATTTGTGAGAGGCAGCAACATGAAAATGAATTTGGCGCTGAAGCGGATCTTGAAGGTATAGAAACAAGAGGTGAATTTATGAGTTATATTCAAGCATAGTTGCAAACGACATGTTGAGCTATTCTTTGATGTCTATGAAATTTTTGTTTCTTTTTAATAGGAGTTATAAATATGTGATTTTTTTTATATTCCTTTCTTTCTTGCCAAGCCATAGTAAAAAGAATTTCAGATTTTAAATAAGCATTAAATGAAGTACCTAATGCTATTCTACTTACTATAATCCGGATTGCAATTTATGTTGAATATTTTTCTTTATTCATTAAGGAACATCATTGACCGTATTGCTCTTTGTTCTCTACCCCCTGCTCTCAATTTTTTAAAATATTTTACTTTTTATAAAACATTTTATTATAACTCTTACCATGAGTAGCACTTTGAGAAAATGATAATTAAGGATCCCTATCATGTCCCAAAAATGGAAGTGACCAGCATGGGATGTGAATTATATCACACATCCCTTAAGCCTCAAATCGAGAAAATTATTCCATTTCTAAAATATAATTGGATTTATATTGAAATTCTAGCATCCTTAATAATATTAATTATAACAAAAGTTTTAACATTTTTGTAGAAATTTTGACATAACTCTCTCGATAAATAGGATCTCCCAAAATTTCTACAACAGAAAATATTACATCATGTATTCAACAGTTTAGAACATCGCTCCCCAACAATAGATAGTCAACTTAGAAAAGTAAAGTCAAGATTCTCTCTATAGTTAACATGGAGCACCTAAACATAATTTTAAAATAAAGCACATAATTGAATATTTACATTAAAAGAAAAGGCATTTCCAACAATAAATATTCACCCACCACAATTATAAGCCCTTCAATGACAAGCAGGAGGTCCAACCTTAACCAATGAGTCTGAGACCAAAAATATTTTTCAGTGAATAGCATTCCCTAAAATATAGAATTTAAAAGAGTAAAAATAATAAACTCAAACAATTAAGTAAACTAATTGAAGGTATGACAATTCAATATAATAAACTTAGTAAATCTGTAAATTTTAATTATAACCATAAAATGAGAGTGAACTAAATTGCTTTATTCTATCATGCTTGAAGAAAACAAATTATCCACATGTAAATCAAAGTAATAAATTAACGAACTGAAAGCATTGAAATTTCAAATACCATATGTTACGTAAAAATCTAAAATTTTGAGGACTTAACAGAACAAGTAACAAACACGGACACACAATCCACGAGGATAAATAACCAAATGCGGCTTATGTCACGAAGATAAACGTGGATACACAATCCACGAGGGTAAGTAACCAAACGTAGCCAAAGCCACGAAACAAACGTGGACACACAGTCTATGAGGGTAATGTTAATCAAACGCAGTTTGAAGCCACGAAACAAACATAAGTACGATGCTCATGAATAACCATTCCTTCGTTCCACATGCATTGGCCATCGCACGGGGCTAACACCTCCTATAAACACCCTGCTAGCTAGGTGTACCGTGGTGTGCCAAAGGCTAACGGGACTGCCATTAGTAACCAGTGTTCTGTATAAAGTCCTCTAAAAATTACTTTTCAAACATGCAAGATGAATCATTTTTGAAATACAATTTACGTTCTCAATATCAAACTCACATGAATCATTCAAATCTCAAAACTTACCAAAATAATATTCTATAGCTAATGTACAAACTTGTATTAGTTGAGTAATTAAGAATTTCCAGAGTAAAATAAACAAAGATGCCTTCATCAATCTTGAAAATATATTTCATAAAGAAAACACATGCACACACCACAATTTAATTAACTTTCATCATCATTCTATAATTTCCAAAACCAAAATGATTTAATTAACAAAGTACATAATAATCATCATAGTTGTTAAAATGATTTATACGAAAATGTAATATTTTCAAAACCAGACTACTTTTATTGAAAAAAATATAATGGGGTGCTATTCACTTACTTGTTAATTTCCCAAAATCTAATGATTTTCTCCCATCAATTTTTTTATCAAGGTCCTCATCTTCTACACTCCTTATAGGAGTAGGTATGAACGAAACCTCAATTTATTCCCTATAATTATATAAACTTCATCCTACTACCAACACAATCCCAACCGATTACAAGTATTCAAAATTCCAAAACCAAAGTTCATATCTTAATAATTTTTCAAACATCAACACTTACCACCAATTTACCTCATATCACTAATAATGACTACTATTCAATTGAGGTATGATTTTCTTATACCTTGTGTCAAACACCTTGTGTACATAATTTCCAATCCATTCAATAAAACTTTTTAATCAAATACCTCTTGCCAAACAATTTTTTTTAAAAAATCCTACAATTAAATTCATTATACTTCTATCACCTATTTTTATCAAATATCTTCAACATCCTCAAAATCAAAAGATAAAACAACACTATAGTTGTAAATTTCTCAATATAACACTTCCAAGACTTCAACTAACCACACTATCACTTCAAAATTAGATTCTTTGCAATACCCAAACTTAACTCATCTAAATAACATTTAAATCAGCTATGCTTTGTCTAATTTAATGGAATCTCAAAAAAATGTTGCTCTAAATAAAAATCCTATTCTATTAACTAAGACACACCCTCAAATGTCCTTTTTCTTTCCATAATTAACAATTAGTATAGAGGAAAGGAAAAGAAAACATGCGGGCTTCTCAAGCTCAAATCCTCCTCCTAATCAATTAAGCCTAAAGAAGATTTAAACTCACATCTATATCCCTCTCGTAGCAACAAATCCATGAATGGATATTTCTTTTCTTCTCTTCTTTTGTGTTAATTTCAACTTGTTTGAATCACAATTTGTCCTACCCAATCAACATGTACCACAGCACAGAGGAGTAAAATTTTCTTCTTCAATTATCAAATCATACACCCACACATATAAAATCCACAAGAAGGAAAGGATATCGTTTCTCACCTTAATTAGCAATGACAGAGAAAGGAAGGAAGGGGAAAGAGCTGACTGAACAGATGAAACAGGGGAAAACAGAATTCATCACTCCAGCCACCAATAGCCACTGCATTCATTGACAACGCATAGCTAGAAACAAGGGGAAAGAAGTTTGAAAACAGCCACAGAATAGAAATGCCACAGCCACAGACAAAGACATAGAGGAAGGGAGAAGAAGATCTGAATGCACCCCCAGCCACATGAACCTAAAAGCACAATCGGCATTGGCGTTTTTAATCAAAGAAGGAAGAAGCTTGATCGGCGACACCTACAGCATCGGCATCGATAGCAAACAAATGAGGTGGAGAACTAAGATTTTTGGCCGGAGAGAACGAAGCTTCTGGAATAAACTCCCTCTCCATGGTTCAGATGCAAATTTATTGGGAAAGGAGAGAAAAGGGATAAAAAAAAATATCATACTTTAAGTTAGGGCAGTAGGGTAATTTCACAAGGCTAAAGAAAAATAGACTCCTTTTTAATTTATAGATTTGATCCCTTAAATACAAAGTTAGACACCAAGAGGACTTCCATAAAGCAACCTCATCTTTCTTCTTATATTTATCCTAAAATTAATAAAAATATATTTAAGTGCCTTATCAAAAATTTTAATTTAATTAATTTAATTATTATTATTACTTTATTTTATTTATTTTTTGGTTAAAACTTTTGGGTCACTACAATCCCCTAAGGGTATTAATCCCATTTAAAGACCATAAAATATTGAAATCTCAATTAAAGACACTTAATTGGGATAAAAAACATACCTAACTTAACAAAATAGCCCTTCACTAAAACACTAAATGATAACAAATTATGTTTGTGTTCTCTATTCTTTTTTAGCATGAAAAATCTACTCTTATGTGTTGTCATGCATGAAAAATCTAGGCAAAAAATTTATAGAATGGATCATTATCTGGATCATCATCTTCTCCCCTATTGGTAGTAGGTAATTACATACATTACTTCTTTTATACCTTCTCCCATTATCGTGCGCAAAAAATATGCATTTACATTTTTCCTCTTTTCTATCTTTAACATCTCCTTTGGCATGCACGAAATTAAAGACAACTTTTGTCACACCCTAAAAATTAGATGTAACCGGTACAAGATATATGTAGAAACATATATCCCTTAAGCCTTTATCAAAGAAAATTTTAATTTAATATCATAATGCATTTGAAATAGGATTATAAATCATTGCATCACTTTCTTTCAAACAAAACAATCCCAACCTGTTTATAGAAATTTCAATAGAATCTTCCTTATAAATAAGTCCTTTCAAAATTTCCACAACAATCATTTACAAAACCAAATCAATAATATTGAGCTCTATTCTTTCATAATAGGCAAACAATATAATTTACAATTTAAGATTCTATCAACAACTATTCTAGAGAACATGATGCATATTATAAATATAATACATAAACTCACATTTAAAGCAAGTTGAGATTTGCCTAGAGAAATTTGTCTACTTCCCTTCAACAATAAATTCTCTCAATGATCAATAGGAGATCCTAAGTGCTGATATTATTTGAAGCCAAAATATTTTTCAATGAATAACGTCCCAATTTAAAATTAAAAAAAAAAAGAGAAAACGTAGTACTATAAAAATAAAGAATTCAATAGGAATATCTATTTGAAAACAAATTAGAAACTCATACATCAAATCACATGATTCTATGTAAATATATGAATCATCTATGCATGAATCTAAATAATGAAGACATAGCATTAGAATCTCATTTTCATACTACAATACACACACACACACACACATTTTAGACAATTATTAAATATGAAACTCTTTACAACATCAATATGTGAAGAAATACAACTCATTTAACTAATATCATTTTAAACAAACTATAAGTTTCAAAACTCAAATGTTCAATGGGACTTAACTAGAACAATTAACAAGCATGGACACAAAGTCCATAAGAGTAAATAATTAATAAGTGTGGACACACAATTTATGAGGATAAATAACCAATAAGCATGGCTTGAAGCCACGAAATAATTAAGTGTAGCTAAAAGCTATGAAACAAGCACAGGCTAGAACTCCATGAAACAAGTGTGAGTATGATGCTCATAAATATCCATCCCTTCGTTCCATGTGCGTTGACCTATGTACGGGGCTAGCACCTCCTACAAACATCTTGC